GGGATCTTTGATCCACTTCAAATGTTTACTACTATATATATATATATTAGTACACGCATATCTATAGGTTTTTTCATGCGTCCTTTATAGGTGTGTTGAGCGAAAGTTTCGCCGTTGCCCTTCGCTCCCCACCACGAGTGTGATCATTGTGTTTCACAACGAGGCATGGTCAACACTTCTGCGCACCGTGTACAGCGTGCTGCACACCTCCCCGGTGGCTTTCCTCAAAGAAATCATACTAGTGGATGATGCCAGCACAGCAGGTGGGCCCGACTTTATCAGTTCTTGCTGTAAAAATTAACTACCCGTAGACGGTGTTATTATATGTTCTTGGCTCAATGGCGAACAGTTTTATTTAGTGGAATGTCACTTGTACGAGTGCTGCTTTGGGTGGGTGAAAAATGCCACGAACGTACATTAACAAAAGAACCAGTTAAGACTGCAAAAAAAATAATACTTTGCGTAAACAAAGGAAGTAATATTGCATAGTTGAAACTGAAAACATGTATTAGCTAACTAGTCCATAGCAAAAGTTAATTTTTTTTTTAAAGAAATCACTTATCCTCACTAAGGCTGCATTTGTTAAAAAAAACAGTAAAACAATAATATTGTAAAATTACAATTTTACATTTATTTTTATATTAAAATCTAATTAATTTCTGTGGTGGCAAAGCTGAATGTTCAGCAGCCATTACTAATATGCTGATTTGGTGCTTAAGAAACTGGGTTATTTGAAGGGAAAAAAAATTGTAAAGTTCAAAAGAACAGCATTTATTTGAAATATGAATCTTTTGTAACTTATAAATCTATTTGCTGTCAATTCTGATCAATTTATAAGAAGTATTGAATAAGTATTAATTCCTTCAAAAAAAAAAAAAAAAAACTTTAATTATCCCAAACAATTGAAAGGTATTATTGTTGTAGTGTAGTTTTTGTTCATATTAGTACACGCATATCTATAGGTTTTTTCATGCGTCCTTTATAGGTGTGTTGAGCGAAAGTTTCGCCGTTGCCCTTCGCTCCCCACCACGAGTGTGATCATTGTGTTTCACAACGAGGCATGGTCAACACTTCTGCGCCCCGTGTACAGCGTGCTGCACACCTCCCCGGTGGCTTTCCTCAAAGAAATCATACTAGTGGATGATGCCAGCACAGCAGGTGGGCCCGACTTTATCAGTTCTTGCTGTAAAAATTAACTATCCGTAGACGGTGTTATTATATGTTCTTGGCTCAATGGCGAACAGTTTTATTTAGTGGAATGTCACTTGTACGAGTGCTTCTTTGGGTGGGTGAAAAATGCCACGAACGTACATTAACAAAAGAACCAGTTAAGACTGCAAAAAAAATAATAATACTTTGCGTAAACAAAGGAAGTAATATTGCATAGTTGAAACTGAAAACATGTATTAGCTAACTAGTCCATAGCAAAAGTTACTGGCGATGAAATATTAATTTGTATTAACTTATTTTTTCCTCTTCATTAGTTTAATTGTTCCCCTCAATAATCTCCTTGTTAGTTTTATGTACTTTGTTTGTGCTGTAAGCGATAAGATAAAGGAAGTGTGGCAGTTCATTTGAAGTCTCACCACAGGAAATATCAGCGTGCTCTGAAACTATTATTATTCATTGAAAAATATCACGTTGAACAGTTGACAAAGTTACAGCTGACTTGTAAAGTTTTGAAAACCGTATTAAACTCATGCACTGCAATTGAAAAATTTGGGGTTGTAAGATTAAAAAAAAAATTTTTTTTTTTTGAAAGAAATCACTTATCCTCACTAAGGCTGCATTTGTTAAAAAAAAACAGTAAAACAATAATATTGTAAAATTACAATTTTACATTTATTTTTGAATATTTTTATATTAAAATCTAATTAATTTCTGTGGTGGCAAAGCTGAATGTTCAGCAGCCATTACTAATATGCTGATTTGGTGCTTAAGAAACTGGGTTATTTGAAGAAAAAAAATTTGTAAAGTTCAAAAGAACAGCATTTATTTGAAATATGAATCTTTTGTAACATTATAAATCTATTTGCTGTCAATTCTGATCAATTTATAAGAAGTATTGAATAAGTATTAATTCCTTCAAAAAAAAAAAAAAAAAACTTTAATTATCCCAAACAATTGAAAGGTATTATTGTTGTAGTGTAGTTTTTGTTCATACAGTGCCTTTCAAAGGTACTTTACAATACAGAAGAAACGGAAAACAAGATTACACTAATGTCATCCTTCTACATTTGATCTTGTGTGTTGTTGCAGAACACCTCCATGAGAAGCTGGAGGAGTATGTGAAGTCACTGAAGATCGTGAAGGTAGTGCGTCAGCCGGAGAGGAAGGGCCTCATCACCGCGAGGCTTCTTGGAGCCAGCAAAGCCCAGGGAGAAATCCTAACCTTCCTAGATGCTCACTGTACGTGTGTCCTCACTTGTCATGAATTGCCCTGCCCAATTCTATTGACTCCCACAGCATACCAGTTTCTGTTAGCATGTCATTAACATCCATCAGTCTCAATATTTGTGACTGGATGGAAAGTAGTTTTTCAGGAACCTGCTCTTCAGGTCCATTGGCATGAGCTTAAGGTGGTTACTCCCATAATTGCATTTAACTTTTTTCTGGCACTCATGTCATTTGCAAAGTTATGTGCCATGAAAAAGGTCTAGTATGTGATGCTTATCTTGTTCGCTTTGAGCCATTGTAGGCGGGATTGAAGACTAGCAACATACACCTGTGTAATATTATCCTATATTTTACCTTGTATACGATGAAAGTTTTGAAAAGTGTGACATTCCATCGTAGCATATATGCTTGAGTAGCATATTTACAAACCCTATTTTCTCTTTTGTCATGTTTTTGTTGTTACAGGTGAGTGTTTCCATGGCTGGCTCGAGCCTCTCCTTGCTCGCATTGTTGAGGAGCCCACTGCTGTGGTGAGCCCTGAAATCGCAACCATTGATTTAAACTCTTTCCAATTCCACAAGCCCGTGGCGTCGGCCCGTGCCCATAACAGAGGCAACTTTGACTGGAGTCTCACATTTGGCTGGGAGGCCATTCCAGATTACGAGAACGCTAAACGCAAAGATGAGACGTACCCAGTAAAGTAAGTCACGCATGTTTTATTTAAACCTTGCTCTTAATAAGCTTGGAAGTGTTTCCGAGAATAAAAACAAATTTACGTATTCATTTTGTTGTGATTGATGCATCAGTATTTACCTTTACCAAGACAGGTGTATTTGCTTTTTCATCAATTAAAGAGATTGTTTACCCAAAAAAGAACTTGTCATTTACTCAACCCTCAAGTTGTTCCAAACCTGTAGGACCACAAAAGAAGATATTTTGAGGAATGTTGGTAACCAAACAGTTGCTGGTAACCATTGACTTCTATATTATTTTTTTCCCTACCGAGACAAATTTTTTTGTTTTTATGTGAACTGTCCCAATTGACAAGTGTTTGCAAGGCCACATTTCAATACGGTCAGTCATTTTTGCAAAATAAATCCTGACGGTGATCAGAAGGGGTCTTGTATCACATTGAGGGTTTTTTTGTGATTCTGACCAGCCATTATCCTGTTTGTTTCCTTAGTACTTGTCAAAAAAATGAATAAATGGAAACATTGAGTCGGAATGCGCACGGGCTAATTTTGAGCTACAGGCAAAAAAAAGTTAATGTCGATTTTTCACAAAAGTTAATTAATTAAGCCCTCGTCTAGCGACTCCAATGCTTCAAATAATAATTTTAGATGTTTATTTACCTTTATTTGTACATTTTCTGAGAGGAGTACCTATTCTCCACTTGTTTCTCGTGCTGACTGTCATCCGAAGCGCACGCATAACACGCTTCTGACAGCGCGATCCCGATAAATATACACGCATACACAGAATTACAGTATTTAAGTATTCACGCAAACATAATCTGTTATGTCTTAAGTGAACGTTTGGGAAACTGTTGGGGAAAAACATCTGATGTGTAGCATTATATTAGATCCGTGCATCACAGGTCTTAAAGGGGTCATATGATGCTTTTTTTAAAGATCATTATTTGGTGTAACAGAATATGTTGACATGCTTTAATGTTCAAAAAACACATTATTTTTTCAAATACTACATTATTGTAAGTCCTCTATGCCCTGTCTCTCTCAAACGCTTCGTTTTCTACAAAGTCCCTCCTTCCGATGTGATTTGTTACCGGTAATATAGTAATAATTATTAAGAAAAGTGTAGGAAAAGATGCAACTTTGCTCTGTGATTTTGCTTTGGAACTTGATTTTTCTCAAAATTGACTTTGCTGACTTTATCTACTTCAAACGGGTGTAGCTCAGTCATTTTCGTCAGATTCCAACCAATCATACATCATTCTGCAGGTCTTTTAATGGAGAATGTGAAAATGAAAATAACTCCTTTTTGAAATTGACTCATTTTGCCAGCACAGGTCACAATTTGTTACTTTGCATTTACACACTGTGCCGTGTTAATTAAATACTTGGAATTTTTGTTAATGAAATGCTTGGAACGTTTAGTTTATTCAAGTCCTGGCCAGGTTCTTCCTGTCAATCAGATTTTTATGAATGAGATGACTTGGCTGGTTGTATGAAGTTTCATTTACTATGGCCATGTCTTAAAAGATTATTGAGATTAGGCTACATGTCCTCAGCTAATTAAACAGCCTATACTACCTGATGTCACATACTTCTTACTACAGTTATCTACAGCATTTTCCTTTTAACAACTAGCTAATTCAGAATAATCATTTATATTTGAATATTACATGCATTTGTTTTACAGTGTTTAGTTTATTTTAGAAGATTTTTTCAATATGATGTATTTATTATGCATCATAAGGGTAATAACCTTTAATAACCTTATAATATGCTGCATCTGATAATCTTAACAACAGTTATGTGTACCTGGTTATGTTTATAACTTTTAATGTGACTATGAACACCATGTTATATCCACTTAGGTTATAATGGATTACAGTTACAATCAGGGTTTAAATTGGGCCGGGGCACAGACTCCAGGGCTCGACATTAACGCCAGACAAGTAACATGATTTAAACATCAGTAACCAAAAATAACTATGTAAACACCAAAACGCAAGTATTATTCAGATTTTATTTCATTTAGAGTAAGTGGCGAACAGTGGATATAGCTACTGTATGTAATGCATCTATTGACAGTATAAGGTTGTGCAGCTGAGGCGAGGCTCACGCAGCCTCTCCAGGAGAAATCTGAACGCAACACTAAGCATCCTGAGGTCAAAATTCAAAATGTGAAGTTTTTTTTATTTAAAATACAGTTAGTTAGGCAGCATCACACAACGTTTTCACCATTACGACTGTTTAATATTTCTACAAACGGTTCACTAAGCAAATACAATAATATTAGGCCAATTACATTTTAAGCGGAAACGGCGCATCTCAGCAACCAGATGATTCATTGCTGATTGATTCCATGTTTTGAAGGAATCGGTTGAGTGAGTCAAAGTTTCATTAGCCCATGCATAAACATCTGATGAATCTGCCGTTCGAACGAATCGTTTGACGTCTCAATGACTCGCTCACTACTGGCACCTACTGTCGTTTTAATTTCGTTAAAGTATCATTTCCACCATTTCTTGTTTGTATATTTAAAAGAATCTCATTTAATTCAGTTGTATTTTTTTTTAGTGTAAATGATTTAATTTGATAACGTATAGATAATCACATCATTATAATTGAATTTATAGATCAAGAAGAATTTGAAATGAACGTATTGAGATGGGAAAATGCCCTCTATAAAGGTAAAAAAAAA